CCCAAAGAGCGTACGGCGCTGTTTGAAGAGATCTCCCGTTCAGGAGAGCTGGCCCAGGAGTATGACCGGAGGAAGAAGGAGATGGTGAAAGCAGAGGAGGACACGCAGTTCAACTATCATCGCAAGAAAAACATCGCCGCAGAGCGCAAAGAGGCTAAGCAAGAGAAAGAAGAGGTTTGACATTTTTACTGAGTCTGCATAGGACACAGAGTGTCATGATTAGTGTCTGTGGTTATTTGGCATTTACTGAATTCCTCCATACAGGATCCATTGAGTGGTTTAGCCTGTTTCTACTCTAACAAATTTTTGTTAGAGTAGAAAAGAGTAGTGTTTTTACTCACCAAATTTCAACAGTAAAAGACAAACTAGGAACTTTTAGCTAAGCTTCAGTTTCAACTGCACATCCTGCATATAAATCGATCCCACATATATTTATATAAGAGAGAAAGTCTGGTGTTAGGTGAACAACACAAAGATGAAGTAAAGATTGTTACACTGTAATCGGCAGCAAATCTGTGTATTTCTTATTTGAAATGACTCAAAAATAGCCTTGAAAGAAACTTTTGTATTTTCGCGATTAGTTTTTTGGGTTATCTGATGGAAAAACCTCAAATTCTCATTGGTCATGAAATGTGGAATCAGTTACATCTCTAATCATGATTTGCTCGCTTCTCTCTTTTCCTTCATTTTACCAGGCCGAGCGTTACCAGCGTCTTAAGGATGAAGTAGCCAGAGCGAGTGTACAGTTGCAGCTCTTCAAACTGTACCACAACGAGACTGAGATCGAGAGGCTGAACAAAGAGCTTGGACAGCGGAATAAGGAGATTGATAAGGACCGTAAAAAGATGGACCATGTGGAGGAGGAGCTGAAGGACAAGAAGAAGGAGCTGGGCAGGCTGATGAGGGAGCAACAGACCATTGAGAAAGAAATTAAGTAAGTGGCATGAAATAAAATAAGTTTTGACATTTAAAGCTTAATGCACTATTAGTCATTTGACTTACTTTAAACGGTTGACTTGACCACAGGGAGAAGGACTCTGAGTTGAACCAAAAGAGGCCTCAGTACATCAAAGCCAAAGAGAACACCTCACACAAAATCAAGAAGCTTGAGGCAGCAAGAAAATCACTGCAAAATGCCCAGAAGATGTACAAGAAGCGGAAGGGAGACATGGATGAGCTGGATAAAGAGATGAGGGCAGTGGAGCTGGCTAAGCAAGAGTTTGAGGAAAGGATGGAGGAGGAGGCGCAGAGTCAAGGCCAGGATCTCACCTTGGAGGAAAATCAGGTCTGATGTGTGAAAACTACATTTTAGACATTTTATTTTGAAAAAATACCAAATTAGTTACAGAATTTTAGTGAAATTATAATGTTTCATGAAATTGAAAAATGCGCACTCTTTGTCTCCCTTCTTCCAGGTGAAGCAGTATCATCGTCTGAAGGAGGAGGCCAGCAAACGCGCGGCCACGCTGGCACAGGAGCTGGAGAAGTTCAACCGTGACCAGAAGGCTGACCAGGACCGCCTTGACTTGGAGGAGAGAAAGAAAGTAGAGACAGAGGTAAAGGAGAGAAAAATGGAAAACGATGGAAAAGTTTTATGAGCCAGAACAAAGTCAACGGAGCTTGCAAAGAAAAGCGTCTGGACTTCTTTAAGTTGCTTGAAGACATTTCAGCTCTCATCCGAGAAGCTTCTTCAGTTCTAAGGTCAAATGGTGGGGAGTCCCAGATTTAAACCTAGTGGGAGTTCCCCCCACAGAGGGACAAAAGGACCCCCTGATGATTCTCTAATCGCCTGAGCCAAGGCGTGAAACTGGGTGTGGGTCCCAATCAGCCAGGGTTTCGGGTGAGCTCTTTGTGAAACCTGGCCCCACCAAATCTGGGACTCTCCACCATTTGACC